ACACACACACACACACACACACACACACACACACACACACACACACACACACACACACACACACACACACACACACACACACACACACACACACACACACACACACACACACACACACACACACACACACACACACACACACACACACACACACACACACACACCACACAGTTGCTCTAATGAAACCGAGCAGTCGTAAGCGAGTGTGTTGTGGTAATTTCGATTTCCAATAATGTTTGTAAACCTTATAATTTCTAGATACTTATATAAAATTGGTTAGTTTTTGTTTGTAACAAGTGCTGCCACAAATAAATATTGATAGCAGCTCTAAATAGTGATGTAGTGGTTTTTTCGTATTAATATCTTAGATTTTTCAGCCATGATGTTCTTCTTCTACCAGGACCACGTTTAGCTTGGATCTTTCCCTGAATGATCAGATATAAAAGTTCATATTTTTCAGGTTGTTGACCGAAGTATTCCAATTTGCGTCTCTTTATTATATTGATCAGTTGTGTTGTTGGGTTCAGGCCTCTAAGGACTTCCTCATTTCTAACTATTCGATCCAGTTTATTCGTAGTAGTCGTCTATAAAACCACATCTCAAAAGCTTGCAGGCTCACTTTGGGTCCACGCTTCCACTCCATACAGTAACACTGGAAAAATATAGCAATATGGCATTCGAACTAGAAGGTCAATACTAAGATCGTGACTGCAAAGTATGTTCCTCATTTTTACAAGAGTGCCTCGAGCTTGTTCTATGCCGCTTTTAATTTCTACCATTGGATCCCAGCTGACATTGATTCTACTGCCGAGATACATGAGTTTTTCTAGTCTGTCCAATACGGCATCTCCGACTTTTATACCGTCATTCTATATATAATTTTGTTTATTAACTATCATATATTTAGTCTTTTTAACATTGAGTTTTAATCCATACTGATCACATGTTTGTTTTATTTTGTTCATTAGATTTTGAATACCTTCTTTGCAATTAGTCAGCAATAAGGTATCGTCGTCATCTATCTAATTAGCCTTCTTCGGTCCATCTTTGGACATAGGCCTCTCCAATCCTTTTCCATTCTTCTCTGTCTGTCGCTACAGTCATCCACCTAGAGTTCACGTGCTTCTTGATATCATCTGCCCATCTCATTTGGTGCCTTCCCCTGCTTCGTTTATATTCCCACGATCGCTAACTTATAAGAATTTTGTTCCATCGGACTTCTTTTTCTCTTATATTGTGTCCGGCAAATCTCCATTTCAATTTTACATTTTCTTGTCTAACATCCTCACTTTTATTTTCTCTCTTATCCACTCGTTTCTCTTTTTACCCTATAGTCTTACGTGCAATATTTGTCTTTCCATTGCTCTTTTTGTTTTTATGATTTTGTCCATGTTTGCTTTTGTAAATGTCCACGTTTGAGAACCAAAGTGAGAACAGCGAGTACGCATTGTTTGTATACTTTGGTCTTAAGATGCTGTGGATATCTTTTGTTTTTAAGAATGTAGCTTAGTTTGCCAAATGCCGCCCATGCCAGTCTAACTATATATATATATATATATATATATTTATATATATATTAATATATATATATATTTATATATATATATATATATATATATATATATATATATATATATATATATAATCCTGAACTTGTTCTATTTCATCTTGTCCGATCCTCATTGTTATGTCTTCATCGTCGTCATATCTAATATTATTTACGGTTATATAATTAACAATAATACCTTCTGTTGTCTCCATTAGGGCTTCCTTAAATATTTATTCTAAATACAAGTTACAGTGTTAAGGCGATTGTATGCAGCCTTGTCTCACTTCTGTTTTTATATTTATTTCATCTGACAGTTCTTGTTCAACTTTTATTCTTACCGATTTATTCTTACTTTATCGTCCAATCCAGCTGTTTTCAATATTTCTAGCATTTATATAACAGTTCGTATAATATAGGCTCGCCTAAAAGCGACACCTATCGAAAAGATCTACTCCATAGTTGGAATCGCTGCACCACCTACCAAAAGACAGGTCACGTCAGAGGTAGAATGAAAGAAGCAGGAGACGGATCCAACACACCCCTTGTATGACCACCTGACTTAGCCAAGTAGATAAAGATCGCAGAAAAGCTTTCTGAAAAAATCAAAATCTATAACCGAAGCGAAAAAGATGCGCCAAATACACCTAAGGCAAGCGTCAGCTACCACAACACATTTTGTTCCCTCAGAGAAAATGGCTGATGGATACAATTTGCCGTATCCGACATGAAAAGTACTAAACAGATTAAGAACCGACATTTCACGTTATGATAGTAACCTGAAAAAAATGAATGTATACCATTTTTCAAAGTAAAACACTTGCACGTCACGATTTATACAAAGTGACGTCACTTGTATTTAAAATTTCCAGAACATCAATATATGTTAAAATTTTCCTAACGACAGCTAATAATACGAAACCCATACGGAACTGCTCGATCTTTCATAGGCGTCAACATGGTGTGATAATCAGAAAAATATAATCATCATTATATTGGAAATTTTAGAATTATATTGATTAAATAACCAAAAACATTTATTATTATTAATAATATAAATTTTATGAAATAACTCTTGAAGTCTAATATTCCACAAAATAATACTTTTAATTAAATATATTAGACAATTGTACGCAACTGATACGGAAATACATCAAATATTATTGACAGTTCAGCGGGTGGCAAAAGTGTATAAAGTGTTGCCGCTTTTTTAGAGTAGAAATTTTGTTTATGTTTTGATTTCTTACACAATTTGATCATAATATAATATATATTAATAAATTGTATTTATACAATACATTTTAAATTTAGATTAATAGTTTTAAAAACTAATTATTATTGTGATTGTGATATGCCAAAACAAATAAATAGTCTGTAGAAAGCTGATAAGTTTTCATATAAGATAGATTATTTCGAACAAGAAATAATGGCGTGACGTTTTTCTTATTAAAGCCCTAAAAGGTAAGTTTAAAATTTAGAATATATAATTTTGTATTAAAATGTTTTCTTATGTATTTTAATGTGTTACAGTAGTCTTAAAACTAAGTGTATTTACTGTTAATATAATAGTTTGACAAATAGTTGACATTTTAAAAATTCCTCACTTACTAACTATTCTGACGTTTTGGCAACGCTGTGGGGTTCTGACGACGTAAATCTTGAATGACGTGCAAGCTTTTTTATATGAAAAATGCTATATAAGAAGGACGATACCTGCGACTTTGGCGCAGCTCAGGATAGTCACTATCTACTATGCTGCACAGAGATAATAGAGACGTGCACAAAACAAGAAATAATTTAAGAAAATGACAGTCATTTTCTTCCCTATGTGGCCAGCCAGTGGAAGTACAGTGGAGGAATTTAAAATTGTTGGTGTGTAGCATTTTCGTTCCATCCCGTATATAATAAAAACCAAAAATGATTTTTAATATTTTTGCGTTTCTGAGATTGATATTATTTAAACATCTTAGAGTCTGTTTATAATAAACAAATTGCTCTTTTGTTTGATCTTGGTTCCGCTTATATAATTGCTAATTAAGCTAATAAAAACCAAAAATGATGTTTAATATTTTTGCGTTTCTGAGATTGATATTATTTAAACAGCTTAGAGTCTGTTTATAATAAACAAATTGCTCTTTTGTTTGATCTTGGTTCCGCTTATATAATTACTAATTAAGCAGTTAATATTAAAGCAGTTTTATTGATAAGTTTTCTTTATATTATGAAGGTTTGATCTTCTCGTTGGAGGCTGTAGATCAATGTAACAATTTTGATCTGATTTGTAACAGATTGAAATAGTTAAATTAATCTACTACTATCGGTTTACAGCATTCTCCGACGCCTTCCGACTCCTAACCGCCATTATTCTCTATTCATCCATAGGCCTGGAGCGATTTCTCTTTCCTCTAGTTCTTTTTCAATTCCATCTCTCCAGCTTCTTCTCGGTCTTCCTCTTTTCCTTCTCCCTTGTGGTGTCCACGTCAAAATCTGTTTTGGAATCCTGTCATCTGGCATTCTCTGTACATGGCCGTACCATATTAACTGTTTTGTTTTTATGTCATCAACTATTGTATGCTTGACTCCCATCATTTCTCGTATTCTCTCATTTGGTATCCGATCTGTTCTTGATTTGCCTGCTGCTCTTCTCCAGAAGTCCATTTCTGTTCCTAGTAACAGTTTCTCTGTTCTTTGTTTCATTGACCAAACTTCACTGCCATATGTGATTACACTTTTAAGTATGGTGTTGTATATGAGTTGTTTGTTCTGTTTATATATTGTTTGGTCCCACAGAATGCCGTTTATCATGGTATAGCTTTTCTACCCTGTATGTTTCTGTCTTTTATAGCAGCATCGAGTGTTCCATCTTGAGTTATCTTCATACCCAAGTACTTATATTCATCACAGTTTCTAATTTCTACCCCATCGTCTAATATAATGCACTGTTTTGTCCCTCCAATACACATGGCTTCAGTTTTCTTAATGTTGACTTCAGGACTTAATGAGGTCTCGAAGTCAATAGTTAAATTAATGCAAACCCAAACCAGTCTCTAGTTTGTGAAGTTTTTTCTTCACAATATATCCAATATATTTTTTTTTTGTTAAGGTTATTATTTCTTTATCTAATTATTCTTGTATTCTCTGCTTCTTGTGCCCTCTGGTTTTGAAAATGTTAATCGCTTCGTATATTTGTGATCTGACATCCTAGCAATGTGTCCAGCCCATCTAGTTTAATTTGAATTGTCTGTTGGTTGGTAATTTGGTTTTTTCCTTGTTTACCACAAGTCCTAATTCACTTGCTGTGTCCACAAGCCTTGTAAAACACTGCACCATTACGAACGTTTATTAAATTGCTTAAACATAACCTTACCATCTTGTTTTTTTTTAACACAAAATGTTTTTAAAATATTTGTTAAATAATTGTAACTATTTAACTAATGAATAATTTATTTTTTAGTGCGCTTTGGATATTCTAGGATTTTCAATGATGTTTTTTATTATATTTTTTGCTTATGCCGAACTTGGATATTTACTATTTGGACATCAGGTATGTTGTCATTAACTCTTATTTTCTAAAAGTAAATGCGGCCCTAACATACTTTTTTTATTAATAGTACAGACTACGTCTCTGTACTATGTTTTTTTGTAAATATATTTACTTTACCTCAAAAAAGGTCGCTTTAAATGTCTTTTTCTCATACATTACAGAACTTTTCATATGTAAGAAAGATTATTTACATAATATCTGAAGCACCGACCCGTTACTACAATAAAACCAATTTAAATCAACCCTTCTTTACACCTGCATATACAGGGTGAGTCATAACTATTGGGACATATACTAAGGACAGGTTATTTGGATCAAAATATGGCTATTGGGCCAAATATGCCTTAATAAAATGTTGCTGAGAAAAAAGATACAGGGTGTTAAAGTTAATTTGTGTTTTTCGTTTTTTGCTAATAGTTTCCCTGTATATTTATAAATTGCTATCAAAATTGGCGCAGAATCATAATCGTAGACAAGAAATAGTATTTTATTTACAATTCCACTATCAAATACCAAACTAATAAACAAAGTTGCAACTAACGTAAGGGTTCCGTTTTGACGATAAATCAAAACTAAACACACTTTAACTTAAAAGAACTCACAAAAACTCAAACTAAATGTTCTACATGGTCTCCTCCGATTTCTATGCCTTTTCTAATTCTTTTTATAAAGGATTTTCGGACGTTAAAAAAAATATTATTCTGTCCCCAAATATTAAAGTTTTGTGATTTGGTTGCCTTCTGTTTGCATATAACATTCCATACCTTCTGGCTGCCGAGCGACTGCCAAAATTTTCTTGTGCGTATACGCAAATCATATCTCGCATTTCTTCATTAGTAAAATGATTGTGACGAGGCATTTCAATCAAAAAAAGTAATGATTACTTTTAAAAAATGCAACATTACACTACACTGTCACCATTGTTTATTAAACAATGCTGTCACATCAAAAATAATTTACTCTGAACAAATGAAATTTACCAACAACAATTATCTGACAGTCCAAAGCATACTTTTCATAAATGAAATAATATTTGAAATCCTTTTTTAAGACTCTAAGCAGTTCGACTGCGTTTTTATCGAAAACGGTTGAAATTATCATGTTTAAACAAGAGTACCAATTTTACGTAAAAATGATTTTTACATCATATTTTCTAATAAAAATTATTAAAAAGTTTCATCAGAAAAAGTTTAGACTCAATTTGATCATTAGGAATGATCCACGTGGCGCCCTTTATGACAAAACGTAAAATTGTAAATAAAATACTATTTATTGCCTAAGATTATGCCTCTGTGCCAATTTTGATAGCAATTTATAAATATACAGGGAAACTATTAACAAAAAACGAAAAACAAAAATTAACTTTAACACCCTTATTTTGGTCCAAATAACCTGTCCTTAGTCTATGTCCCAATAGTTATGACTCACCCTGTAAATCAGACCCTTTTTATTTACGTAATACCCATAGTGCTAATTTTAGGCGTCAGTAATCTAGGTAAAATTTGATTTAATCGAATTAAAAATAATTTGAAGCCATCCTTTTATGTACACACTTACATTTTTTGTTATTCTATTCTTGCTAAAAAAAATTTTAATAGCCAAACGCAAAATATTTTATTGCTTTTGAATTTACAAACTAGAAAGCCATAACAAAGATCGTAAAAATCTCCTCTAGCTTAAGATCCTTATACAAGCTGGTTCATTCCGCTCTCAGATGTGTTCGTAGTTCTCTGTCTCAGACCATTGATTATAAACCACTACCTAGATAGCTCACCTCGTGGTAACCGAAAGACGTATCAAAAACTAGATGGCGTTACTCGAAAACCGTATCGAGATTCTCATTCTCTCTCTGACTTGCGAAGAGATAGGAGTGGTGTGCAGGGCCGAACTTACCCTATAAGTGTATTATCTGTGTCTAGTGTTGTGACAAGTCATAGCGAAATTTTATAAAAAAAAGGACTCACATTTTAGATAAAATGGCCTGTGTAACGCATAAATGTGTTTACGCGGGATGTTTTAAAAGAAACGATGGAACAAATAATAATATATCTTTCTTTAAATTTCCCTTGAAAGACGTAGAGCGCACAAAAATTTGGCAAAAAAACTGCGGGAATATTGATATTATATTGATGGATATCAGTGACTTAAAACAGAGGGTAATTTGTCAGCATCATTTTGCAGTGGAACATATTTACCAAAGTGGCCAAAGAAAGTTATTAAGGAAAAATGCTCTTCCTCTAAAATTTACACAGTTAGCAACTGATTTAGGTGAGTATTCAACTTTAGAAATATTTTTATATTTGCGTAATGCAAATGGTCAATGAGAATAAAACTATTAAAATATATGTTATATAAAATCATTTGATATTGAGTGATTTATATATATTTTTATACAATTAAATCAAAGAGATTTTTTTTCTACCTATACCTTTTGTTGTTAAAAAATATTAATTCTTCTTAAGAACCTTCATTTTTATAGCACTTTGATATAAATATGTACGTTTCCTCAGAAAATTCTTCTCGACTTTTAATAATAAAATGTTTCGATATTGTCAATAATGAAAGTACTTCTTGAGAACAAGAAATAATAAATATTCTTTTTTCCTAAAATTTTAATTTTACAATCTTAGTTTGAAAAAAATTAACATTCAAATATACTTATTTACTTTGTTTTAAAATATGATCTAATTAGTGATGTTTTAAACTTTCTAATCCTGTCCGTTTATCAGCTTTTACCTATAATTCCTAGGCAGATGGCCCTCAACTATTTATGTATTGGAAATTCCCTGTCATTTTATCAAGATATGTACTTACATTATTCATTTTTAACGTTGGTAATTTGTGGTATTTTGTCAAAGTCAAAATCGATTGCATTTGGTACTACTTGCTTTTAAAACCTCGATGACGTAATTCCAGAAAGTCCTCAGAAAATTTTTAATTGTAAAAAGTATGCTATCTAACAGTAGATCACAGTGATTTTATTTAGTTCACCTCCATACAATTTTTTATTTTGCACAGAATATGATTGACTTCCATATTGCTATTTCTACCTTCGGTAATGTGACCTAAATATTCCAGCTTTCTTGTGTTGATGTTTTTTATCACCTTGCAATCCTTTTGTAACATTGTAACCCTAACACTTTTGCATTTGAAACTCGTTGGATTCAGGTATTTTCAAAATTCCTCTATAGCATCACATCTCAAATGCTTCTGTATATTGTCTACTTTTAGTGTATAGCTTTCCATTCCATGTATCAAAGTCGAGAACACGTAGCATCTTAAGGCGCTCATTCTCAGCTCTAGAGGAAGATCTCGATTTTCTTGTGACATTATTGCAATTAACTAGTTTTGATGGGAAATAAGCCACAATTTTACTAAAAAATGATTTTATTAACGTTTCGACGCCCAAATCGGGTGTCGTCAAAATAAAGAAATTATTAATGAATTAAACAAAAATTATACAAATATTATACATTTTAAAGTAGATAAAGAAATATTGGCAATGATATTGCCAATCTTTATAAGTTGCGTTCCTGGGACGACTTTGTTGAAAGATAGTCGATTACATGAAATCAACCCTAACTCAAGAATATCCGTAACAAAAAAATCATAACATGTAATAAGACAACCTTTAAATAGACAACCACATGCAATGGTGGCAGTAAAATTCTCGCGCTAGAATATAAATATAGTCCCAGGAACGCAACTCATAAATATTCGCAATATCATTTTAAAGTCTTCTACTTTAAAATGTATAATATATGTCTGAATTGCCAATATAAATGGGTCAGATTAAATAAATTATTAGAATAAGTTTTTTACTAAGCAACAATATTTTTGTTTAATGCAATAATAATTTTTGTATTTTGACAACGACACCCGATTTGGGCGTCGAAACGTTATTAAAATGATTTTTTTAGTAAAATTGTGGCTTTTCCCATCAAAACTAGATAAGATCTCGATTAACTAACATTTTTTTTTTCATTGTTATAAATGCTTGTCTTGCAATTTCAATGCGTGTCCTGATTTCTCTAATAAATACCTTGGTCATTGTTTTTATTGTATTATTATAATGATCTGTAAATTTCATTTGTTCAAAGGGCTTATTTTTTAACAATTTTTTTTTATTTTTGAAAAAAATGCTTTTTTCAAAACAACTTAAAATTATTAGTGACACCAAAAATCACAAATAGTAAAAAAATGTAGGTTTTGCTTTTCTGAATATTTTGGTCATAATAAAAAAAGTTGTAATGAGTTTTCGTCGAAAAGTACTTTAGTTTTTTATTATTTCACGTTGAAATATTCAACATGGAATTTGCCGAATAAGAACCTATTTTTCAATAATTCGAAACGTATTGAATTAGTAAAAAACTCTATAGAACCAAAGTTACTTAGAATTACTGATTTTAGGCACTTCCAAACTTATCTTGAACATATATTTTTTCACTCCCGATAAGGGGTGATACTAATCCATAGGGCAAAACATAATCTATTTTTTTTTTGACATCTTAGTTAGGCGTAAGCCAAATTTCATGTCAATCCAAGCGATTCTTTAAAATTATGAGGTTTTGCAATATTTTACCGTGAGTGAATGGACTAAATCTGGAAATAAATTCTGTATATTTAGCTTGAACTATTTTAGTTTGCATCAATTCTGGAAATTAATTTGTTTGAAAAGTTACAAAAAAGTAATTTACATGAGATGTAATTTATGCTAATTATTATTATGTATTTTATATTTTGTTATTTTTTTGTATTGTGTTGATAAATAAATAATTTTTAGAAAACCTTTACTGTTTTTATTAATCAATTTTTAGCGTTTTTTTCTGAAGTAAAATCGGAATTTCATAATATAGATTACAAGCACGTTAAAATTATTTGTGAAAATGCTGAGTGCCATCCTTATATCGTCCTCTATTACACTAGAGAATTGGCGGAGCATGGAACTTAAATTTATTTTTCAATCTTGGCAAATATTTCAATGAATGTCGCCACCATAC